ATATATATATGATACTAACAGACAATGAGTTTTAACTACAGTATGCCTCACAATACTCCAAATTTTTAAAATATCATACATACATATGTACAGCGCATACACATAAGAGTTTGATCTTAAAACCTCAATTGGTAAATCACTAATCTGGAAGAGTATATTTAGCAAAGAATGTTACCAAGTTTGCTTCTTAAAGCCCTAAAACAAGTTAAAAATAATTCCAAGATTCAATATTAGATACAGAATTAATCATAAAAGCTGAAATGTAGTTCTTATTTTTTCAAGATAAATTATAAGACTAAGTTATTCTTTGTTGTAATTTTCCTCTGTAATTAGGAAAACTGAAGTTAATACTCATTCACTGTCTAAAACTATCAAGTTTTTAATTGCCTTCAGTTTTTTAATTACCAACAAACCAATGATAATAAAAGGAAGAGTTGCACTCACCAATGTAGGGACTAGGAAGAAAATATCGTTTTGTGTTTATAAATACTGCAAAAATATATGAAATTTTATACTTAAATTTTATCCTCTGATCTATACAATAAAGATGAGAAACCATCAACTTTATTATATAATAGAGGACTAGAAATCCAGCAATAAATTTAATCCCATATTCGACTAAGAACCCATGAGGTCTGATTTGCTGGGTACTACAGCAAATCAGGTCCTCTCATTGTCTAGAGATCCGCCAGGAATATAGATAAGAACAAAGGCGGAATCATAGTAGTGAAGAGAGAAACCCCAAATCAGATGACCTAGGCACAAAGTACTCCATCTGCCACATATCGATGACAATAGGACATATATTTAGTACACAGAATAATGGTGACGGCATGAGAAATTTGCATTTTTCAGGATCTGTAACATATTTATAATACTGGTTGAGTATCCTTTATTTGAAATGCTTAGAACCCAAGGTATTTCAGGTTTCAGATTTTTCAGATTTTGGAATATGTGCACATACTTTACTGGTCCCTAACCCAAAAATCTAAAATCCAAAATGGTCCGAAATCCCAGAGTGTCAACGTGACATTCAATAAGTTTTGGGTTTCCGAGCATTCTAGATTTCAGATTTTTGTACGAGGGATGCTCAACCTGTACCTATAAGATATTACACCAAGTGCTTAGCATACTGGCTTACTGGCACACATTATCTGTTACACTAGTCTGCCTTTCTCCATGGTTTCTTTTCGTGAGGCTTCAGTCACCCTAATCAACCACAGTCTGAAAACTTCACATGAAAATTCTATAGGTAAACAATCCGAAAGTTTGAACCTGCATGCTATCCTGAACAGCATGATGAAATCTCATGCTGTCCTGCTCCATCCTCCCCCAGGATGTGAATTGACCCCTTGCCCACATACGCAGCAGGAATACATGTCCTGCCCATATGAGTTAGATCTAGAATGTCCCCAAAGACAAATGTGTCCAGAGGTGAGGCCTCTGGAAGATGACTGGATGAGGAGGGTGCTATATGCATTAAGTGAACTGATCCATTGATTAGTTCACAGGTAAATGTGCTGGAAGGAGGTGGGGCCTGGACAGAAGGTGTGTGTCAGAGGAGGTATACCTTTGCAGGTTATACCTCCCTCCCTGGTTCCTCTCTTTTCTGTTTTCTACCTGCCCTGAGGTAAGCAATTTTCCTACAAGGCCTTCTACCATGTTTCTACCTTGAAGCCAGATGATCATGGACTGAATCCTCCTAACCATGAGAAAATTAAACCTCTCCTTTAAATTGTGGGTGATGGCTATTGTGTACCAGCTACAAGGAGCTGACCAATTCACTGCCCATTAGTCATTAGTAGCTGTCTTGGTTATCAGAGCAAGTGCTATAGTACCACAATGTTTGTGTTATTTTACTTAATGACAGCTCCAAAGAGCAACAGTAGTAATACAAAAAAAGGAACCAAGGTATAAACCATGGAACATGGAAGGACAGATTAACTTTGGTAGTATGTGGCAACGCAGTAGGGTATATAGGAAAAAACGTGTGTGTGTGTGTTTGTGTGTGTGTGTGTGTGTGTCTGTGTGCATAACATTCAGTACTATCTGCAACTTGAAGAATTCACTGGGGATCTTGCAATGTAGCCCCCACGGTTAAAGGACTAGTGTACTGTAATAACCAATATAACAGGCAATATTTTTAAAAGAATGAAAATGACAAATGTCACCAGAACAAAAGCAATTCCTTAAAAGTCTGATTTTAGAAAAATATACAGGGCAGGTTTACATACACACATCACACGCATATTCTCACATACATGCAAGCATTTCTCCTACACACTACCACTCAGGGGTTATCTTTCCAACCACACAATGACTGAGCACCCACCTGACACACAAGAGAAGCCGTGGTAGTCTTGCCAACTCCTGGAGGGCCTGAGAGCAACGCTGCTTTAAAACTAGAGCCATCATCTTTGCCGGCAAATTTACCAAACTTTGCTGCTAGAGAAAAAGAAGTTCTGGAGTGTTAAACCTGTATTAGCTAACAGAAATTCAGGAACAGCAGAATCATGCGTTAACCTCCCAGAGAGAGGAAGCCTCCCATTTAGTCTTAAATTTGCAGAGTATTTTCTACAAATTATAAACAACAGTTTTCTGCTGAGTAAAATTCTACTATCTCATCTCTGCTCAAAATAAAAAACTAAAATTAATTTCTTTTCAAACTCTGATGTGAAACAAGAAATTTATGAATCTCCTCCTACAAAACCACAGGCCATGGAGCGTATTGCTAGGACTCGAAACTGCCTCCACCTGTCCCCAGCTGGAGTACTCTAGTCCAGACTTAACCCCTCTTCACCTGTCTCTTCCTTTGTACAATGAGGATCAGCAGCAGTACAGGAGCTGGTGTGGGTGCTGCAAAGATGATAAGGCTGAGCACAGGGCCTGGTGGGTATGTCTCAATAAATGTTAACAAGCAGCATCAGCTACCTGCTGAACACATGCTGCAGACACTGTGTGTACCACCGTTTGCACAGCACAGTGCTTTTCCTCACCTCACCTCACCATGTGGATTCTCGCACAGAAAGAGACTCAGTGAGCGCTCCACAGCTGAGGGAAGTGGTTGCCACTCAGCCTGCCAGCACAGGGAAGAGAACCTACAGCTTACCTGAAGCCTTAAAGTCTTCTCCAGACACACAAAACCCTTATCCCCCGTTTAAGGTGAACTTTACGTGGTTTCAGAAAAGAAGGACTCAACTTAAACTTAACCCTGTATCATTACACTTAAAATATTTAACAGTTATGCAGAAAGCCATCTGGCTTTGCTGGCCAAGTCTAGCAACCATGTAGTTATTAACAACCCAGTCATCACTATGAGGATTTGCCAAAGTGCTCACAACATCTGTCCTGTTTCTCACATACTATCCCACAGGGCTGTGGCTGGAGCTACTGACATTTGCAACGTGTAACTTCAGTTCCAAAAATACTCTGGACACTAAAGACATATTTTGGCTTTTCACTCTCCATGAAAAATTCACAGTAAACCCATGCATACATAAACTACCAGAGCACAGGCCTAACAAGCCTGCCTAAAGCAAATCACACACGGTCCTGGGATTTCGAGTACCAGCTCTGTACGCACGCCTCAGCTACTGACTCACACCTTTCCCTAGTGCCCTGGGACTCCTGAAAGTCATCTGACCTTTGGACATGCCCTTTTTTCCACCCAACCTTTACCCTTCCTTTCACCTATCTCTTACTTGGGACCCAAATCTTAGCCTATCTACTTCTTTCTACGGGAAGAGAACACACCTCTTCATCCCTGAACACCCCTCCATGCTCGCAGCACCCTATACTCATCCCTGTAATGGTACTTGGTATGATACTTTGGGGAGGGGAGGGTACTGAAGATTAAACCCAAGACATGCATACTGAACTACGTCCCCAGCTCTTTTAGAATTTTTTAAATTTTGACACAAAGTCTCACTAAATTGTCCAACCTGGACTCAAACTTGTAAGCTTCCTGCCTCGGCCTGAGTATTGGGATTACAGGTATGTGCCACCATGCCTGGCTGGCACACTACATTTTAATGGATGGTTCACACGTCTTCCTCATCATGGGCTCCTGAGGGAGACTGCTTTGTTCACAACAGTGGCACCAGGGTCTAGCAAAGCACCTGGGCTCAGAGAAAGCTCTTAATAAATGCTGGTTGACAGGTGAACAAATCGACCATTTCCCTCTCATATGTATGCATATGAGCAATTACATGTTGACAGACACACAGCAATGAGTAAAGTTAAAAATCACCGTGTTTTTTCTCATCGGGAGAACTTTTGTGCCAGTTTCGGAGCCAGCGGAGCAGTTTGTTGGCACAGCTCTGGTCGCCTTGCTGTCCAATGATGGTCTTGAGTGAGGTTGGCTTATATTTATCCACCCAGAGCAAACTGTCCACTTTGCTTTCACTGCTCTCATCAGCCAACTCCCTAGGCCTGCTGTCACCATTTGTCTCCTCAGCCACCTGCTCCTTGAAGTCCAGGCCTCTCCGAAACACATTTGTTACCTCTGTTTCCTTTTTTATTGTCTTTGTAGAGCTGTCCCTTTTAGGAGTCTGCTTGTTCTTTTTAGATTCTGATTCCTTCTTGTTTGGACTAATTTTTCTTTTCCCTTGGTTATTTTTTTGGGGTGTTCTCTCCAATTTGGACTTTCCTTTCTCCATCTTAATAATTGAAAAAGGAAGAGAAAAAGAAATCTGATGAGACCCAGAGAATTTCTATCCTGCTAAAGGACCTCCAGAGGGCAACTGAGATCTGCATAATCTCAACCTGGACTGGACTTCTCGTGATGGACCCTACTGTTGGTGAAGACCAAATGGATAAATAAAATGTGGTGCATATACACACGGTGGCCCATGAGAAGAGCTGAAGTCCTAATACAAGGTACAACACAGGTTAGCATCATGCTGAGTCAAAGAAGCCAGACACAAAAGGCCACACATATTGCATGATTCTATTTATACAAAATGTCTACAATAAGCAAATCCTAGGACCGGGGATTTAGCTCAGTGGTTCCAGCGCCTGCCTCACAAGCGCAAGGTCCCAAGTTTGATCCCCGGTACCAAAAAAAAAAAAAAAAAGTAGAATAGGCAAATCCAGAGACAGAAAGTCCAGTAGTGATTGCCAGGGGTGGGTATGATGAGTGACTGCAAATGAGAATAGGGTGGGTAGGGGTGACAATGTTCTAGAATTAGACAGTGGTGTACTCTTATGAGTACACTGACTTATACACCTTGAAGGGATGAAATTTATGGCATATGAATAATATCTCAATTTCTAAAAATGTTAACTGTCTTTGCCACTGGATGCTAAAACTTGTGGATGAATGTTTAAGAAACAGGATAATAGCATCATCTTAATTATTTGCTCAAGAAGGTGATCAATTACAAAGAGGAAAATCATCACTCTGCTAGAAGAGAAACTTGACAGATACCACCTTAACCAAGTAATCAAATAAGACATGGATGTCAACATCAGGTGGCTACAATGCACTGCAGACACAATATCACCCCTGTGGTATTCTTGCCAAAGATGAACAGCTTCAATATAATCATGAGAAAACAATCAAATAAACCCCAATTGAGAGACAGTCTATAAAACAACCCATACTCATCAAAAGTGTCAAGGCAGGGCCAGGGATTTAGCTCAGTGGTTCTGGTGCCTGCCTCACAAGCGCAAGGTCCTGAGTTCAATCCCCAGTTCCAAAAAAAAAAAGTGTCACAGTCAGAAGAAGCCAAGGAAAGACTCAAGAACTATACAGACTAGAGAAGGACTGTCACAGATTGGACAGAAACTCAATGTAGTGTTGGATCTTGGAACAGAAATAGGTTCTTTTTTTCTGGTACCGGGGATCAAACTTGGGTCCTTGCAGTTGCAAGGCAGGTGGCGGAACCACTGAGCTAAATCCTCGGCCCTTGGAACAGAAATAGGACAACAGGGCTGGGGATTTAGCTCAGTGGTTTCATTGTCTGCTGCGTGAGCACAAGGAACCGAGTTCGATCCCTGGTACCAAAAAAAAAAAAAGAAACAGGACAACAGATTCCACCGCTCCCAGGGCAGAGGAGGCGAGCCAATCGTAGAACCCAGGAGGAGGCTCCCAGGCCGCCATTCCACTGTTCCCAGGGCAGAGGAGGTGAGCCAATCCCAGAGCCCAGGAGGCTCCCAGGCCACCATTCCACCGCTCCTAGGGCAAAGGAGGTGAGCCATGTAGGCACCAGCAGCACCGCCCCCCAGCCCTGTGGAAATGAGAAGACATGTAAACAAGCTTCAAAAACAGACTTCCAGATCACCTACA